TAACCCTGTTTGCCTCAGGTTCTTCATCTGTAAAATGAGCTGGAGAAGTAAACAGCAAACCATTCCAGTATCTTTGCCAAGAAAACCGCAAATGGGGTCACAGACAGTAGGACACAACTAAAATGACCAAATAACAAAAAACAACAATGACCTGTAGAAGGTGGGATTTTAGCCGGGACTTGAAGGAGGCCAGAAAAGCCAGGATATGGAGATGGGAAGGTAGAGAATTCCAGGTATGGAGGACAGTCAATGAAAATGCCCGAAGGTGTGAGATGAGTATCTTGTTCAAGGAACAGGAAAGAGGTCATTGTCATTGAATTACAGAGTAGATGGGGGAAAGGTATAAAAAGACTAGAAGGTAGGGAGTAGGTTATTAAGGGCTTTGAACAACAAAGGATTTTATATCTTGTCCTGGAGGTGATAAGGAGCCACTGGAATTTACTGAGTAGGGGGTAACACAAGCACTTTAGAAGATTAATTTGGTAGCTGAGTGGAAGATGGACTAGAATGGGGAGAGGCTTGTGGCAGGGAGGCCACCCAGCAGACTATTGGTCTTGATAAAGCTGTGCTGTTTCTTTGAGATTACTATCAGCTCAGTGGGACAGTGAATATAGTCCTGGATCTAGATTCAAGAAGAGAGGGGCAACTAGTGGCGCAGTGGATAGAGCTCCAGCCTTGGAGTCAGAAGGACCTGAGTTCAAATCCAGCCTCAGACACTTGACACTTACTAGTTGTGTGACCCTGGGCAAGTCACTTAACCCTGATTGCCTCATCAAAAAGCAATGAATAAAATAAAATAAAATAGATTCAGGAAGACCTATGTTCAAAATCCAGACACAGATAGCTGTGTGATCTTGGGCAAACCATTTAACCTTTGCTTTGGTTTCCTCCATGGTAAAGCAGGGAAAATAATAGCACTTATAGGGTTGTTGTGAGGATCAAATGAGATAATATTTGCAAAAAGTGCTTCACAAACCTTGAAGCACTATATAAATTTTAGATGTTATTTTCTCCTTTTCTCTAATCATTTTTTTTATTTTGCATTTTTATTTATTTTTACTTTTTTTTTGTCTATACTATCTCATTCGGTGCTCTCATCAATGATTATCATCTGTGTGGAAATGATTTCCAGATCTATTTGTCGAGCCCTAAGCTCTAGTGTCACATCAAAAAGGGATTATTAGAATGATACTTGGAATCGGAATCAAATTTTCTAACTATAGTTTTCTGACTCCATTGTTTTCCTTTCTTTGAAAGCTGGTTTTCTCAATCCTCATTCTTCTTGCTCTCTATGTACTCACTTTTTGCAGCTTTTGATCACACTCATCTCCTTGATATTCTCTTCTTTTTAGTTTTCGAACACTACTCTGTCCTGGTTCTCCTCTTATGTGGTGGACCACTCTTTCTTAGTCTCCTTTACTTGATCTTCATCCATATCATAATCATTGACTCTGAAAACTTGGGTGACGGATGGCAGTGACCTTAACAATAACGGGAAAGTTCAGAAGAGGGAAGGGCTAGGGCAAGGAAGAGGATGAGTTCAATTTTGGAAATATTGAGTTTGATATGCCTATAGGACATCCAGTGTGGAAAATAAAATAGGCAGTTTTTGATGTGACACTACAGCTTAGGGCTCGACAAATAGATCTGGAAATCATTTGCCTACAGATGATAATTGAACCCATGGGAGTTGATGAGAGCACCAAATGAGATAGTGTAGAGAAAGAACAGAAGAGGACCTAGGATAGAACTTTGAAGGACCCCCAAAGTGGGTGTGATATCAATGAACATCTGGCAAAAAAAAAAACAAAACAAACAAACAAAATGAGCAGTCAGACAGGTAGGAGAATGAAAAGAAAGCTATAATTAAAACTCAGAGAGAAAAGAGTAGCCAACTCAATAAGGGCCACAAAGTTACCAAAAACGTTTCCAAGCTGCGACACTGCCGCCGCCGCCGTGGGCGTTTGACCAAACACACCCAGTTTGTGAGAGATATGATGTGGGAGGTGTGTGGATTTGCCCCTTATGAGAGGCGGGCCATGGAATTGTTAAAGGTCTCTAAGGATAAGCGAGCCCTTAAGTTCATCAAAAAAGGGGTGGGAACTCACATCCAAGCCAAGAGGAAGACAGAGGAGCTCAGCAACATCCTAGCTGCCATGAGGAAGGCTGCTGCCAAGAAAGATTAAGCTGGACCCTTCCAACCTTCCCCACTTACCCAATAAAGATTTGACAAATAAAAAAAAAAAGAAAAGAAAAGAGTAGCCAAGAGGAAGAAGGTGGTCACTGGTATAAGCTGCAAAGATATCAACAAAGATGATGATGAAGAAGAGACCAGTAGATTTGGCTATTAAGAGATCATTGATGACTTTGGAGAGAGCAGTTTTGGTTGAATGATTAATCCAGAAGCCAAGTTGCACAGGGTTTAAAAGAGAGTAAGAGAAGAGGAGTTAGAAATAGTCATTGTAGATGGTTTGTATTGTAGATTGATTGTAGAAGGGGAAAAAAGATATAGGATGACAGCTGGTGGCCATGGTAGGATTTAATGAACATACTTTAAAAGGATGATAGAGACCTGCGTGTTTTGGTAGGTAGCAGGAGTTAGTAGATACAAACTAAAGATTAGAGGGAGAATGAAGAGGATAGTTTGGGGGTGATTTACTGGAAAAAATGGGAGAGGATTGGGTCAAGGGCACATATGTAGGACTAACCTTAGCAAGCAGAAGTGTCTTCTCCTCATTAGAATCTAGGATGAAGGAGATAGTGGGGGACAATGTCAGGGGAATGTAAGGTGAGGAGGAGAGAAGAAAGAACTCTTGTTGAAGTAATGAGATTGCCTTGCTGGAGTGAGGGCCCAGGTGAGATTAGTTTGCATAAATCTATAGTGGATCTAATCATCTTGGATGACCTGGGTTCAAGTCCCACCTCTGAAACAAAGTAGATGTGTGACTATGGTGGAGTCACTTAAACTTTCAGTGCCTCCAAGAAGCTTTGTAAGGCTAAAAATTGCAGAGTAGTTTCCAGTAGTTTCTTCACTAGGAGTTCTCTATACCAGACTTTTACCATCTTCTCCTGCTTCCATCTTGTTTCAGAGAAGGAATAAGGATTGAACTTGGGATTTCATTGGTATAGGGAACTCTCACAAAAGGAGACTTTTACCAATGTAGGGTCTCATCTTTTCTGCAACTGATAATCTTATAGAATTGCCTAGAGCACTGAAAGATTAAGTAATTTGTCCAGGATCAGACAATGTGTGTCAAGATGGAATTTGAACTTATCTTCCTGGTTGCAGGTCAGTTTTCTATCAACTATACCATGCTGCTTCTCTCCATCTTCCATACATGTCTTTAAATTCAAATTGGTTGGTGAATTTTCTGTGTTTCCAGATAATTTATTTAGGTAAACCTACCTCTTCTTATTCATCAGAATTATTTTTTCTTGTGTCTTCAAATTTTCATTCTCAAGAGCTTCCTATCCCTACTGAGCTCACTTCCCCTAAAACATTTTAGTCTGTGGCATCTTATCCATTTTCTGAACCAATCAATCAACAAATATTTATTAAATGTCAATTAAGCTCTCTGATTTGGGCAAAAAGAACTCCAGCAGGTGTTTGGAAAATTGAGGTCCCTCATCCCTACTTTATTGTAGTTCTGTAATAGGCTTCTGATGGTTCCCAAGCTCTTCATCTATTTTCTTTGTGGTCAGGTGGTCTGTAATACACTCCACAAATACTATTGCTTCTTCTTCTTCTTCTTCTTCTTTTTTTTTTTTTTTTTTTGGTGAGTTAAGTGATTTGCCCAGGGTCACACAGCTATTAAGTGTCAAGCGTCTGAGGCTGGATTTGAACTCAGGTCCTCCTGACTCCAAGGCCAGAGTTCTATCCACTGCACCTCCTAGCTGCCCCAATTGCTTGTTTTCCTGCCTCCATTGATCTTCACCCAAATGCTCTCTGCCATGCTTCTTCTCTACCCTGCTTCCTAGACTTCCTCACATGAGTACATTCTCTTAATATGCAATGACACCCCACTTTCCATTTTACCTATTCTATGTCTTTTGAGTAAGATCTTTCTTCTGAAACCAGTCTAGTTATGGATCATATACCAGCAAGTTTTAGTGATACCTTGTAAGGTCAGGCTTTTTCTCTCACCTCCATCTTGTTAGAAGTCCAAGGAAAGGTTGTCAGAGTCCCTAGCAACACAGTCAAAAGGAGTTGGTTCACATTTCATTTTATAATCCAAAGAGTGGGCAGTTCTTCCAGTCCTCTTAGTCATGGGAACTAATAAGGGGTTGCTTCAACATTATAAAAAGCTGTGAGACTCTAAGAGATCATTGTGAATGGCCAGCTCCATCACTCCATTACACTAATAATTGCATTTGTTTTATTTGTGGACTTTGCATGCTCATTTTTTACTTTGGTAATTTGATTTTCTACTCCTTTTTGACCAAATTAACTGTTTTGTATGTTTGTTTTTTTTTTTAAAAGAGAACCCAGATCTTAGTTTTATTTATCATGCTAATAATAAATTTTCCAATTTTACCTTTTCTTCGACTTTTCAGGATTTTAATTTTTGTGCTTCTTTTGGGGTTAATCTGTGGATTTTCTAGGTTTTTTTTAAATTTGACTGTTCAGTTCATTAATCTTTTATTTCTTTTGTTGATGTACAAGTTTAGCACCTGCCACAAATTTTGGCCATTATCTTTTTATTATTTTATTTAATATGATCATTTCTTATTCCTATGATTTGTTCTTTGACTCAAGTCACTATTTAGGATTATATTATTCAGTTTCTGAATTATGACTCCTTTGGTCAAATCTCCCTTATCAATTAGAACTTTTCTTGTGTTTTTGGTCAGCAAATTATGTATTTAATTTCTGCCTTTCTACATTTATTTATAAGTTCTTTATGTCCTAGCACGTGGTCAGTTTTCGTAAGGGTGTTGTACAATGATGAAAAATAAATTCTTTAACATTTCCATTCAGTAATCACCAACAGTCAGTCATATCTAATTTTATTAAGGCAACAAGGTATTTGGGCTAGGGGAGGAAAGGAAGATTTCATCAGCACTTCTTCTTAGAATTGGCTGTATAGGTGGCACAGGATTAGGTAAGATGCTGCACAGGCTACTTCTTTAATCAGCTCCTGAGGCTGAGGGATCGTGTCTGGCCACTGGACCTTCCTCTGGAGGCACATTCACATCCCCCTCTTCCTTAAACCCCCTGTGAATCTCTACCTGGGCAGCAGAAATTCTGTAGGCGCCCCTAAATGCCGGGGTTCTGGCCCTTTCAACTTCCTCACTTGCATGTTCTTCAGTATCTGGAGTTCCTAACTCTGGGGCTTTGGATTCCTGGCTCCCCATCTCTTCAGATATCTGTGTCCCTAGTTCCTCGGGCACTCTATATCCCATTTCCTCCTCTCTTCCTTTCTCTTCAGAGGTCTCAGGGATGGTGGGTCCCAGATTTTGGAAGCTATTTCGGATACGAGTTATGTAGCGACTCAGGACACTGACACCATCGGGGAGATGAGGAGCTCCACCCTCAGCCAGTGTCTTCCTTACACCAGCCACCTCACCCTGCAGTCTGGACACCGTCTTGGTCAGCTCTGTGAGTCGGTTGCCAAGGTCTAAAGAAATAGAAAGGAGGTGAGGGAATATTGAGGGGATGTGCTTCCCACTTCTGGGGGTATCTCAGAAAGGCCCAAAGCTGAATGAACTTCCCATGAATCACCAAGCTCAAGAGAACTCAGAACTCTCAGACTGGGCCTTTTGGAAACACTTTGGCCTATGGGCTGGCACTCATTTGCCCTGAAAGAGTTTCAGAGTTATGAGAGGAGAGGAGAAATTCAGGATCAATTACAGGATTAATAGTATATAGAGTTAGAAAGGACCCTAGAGATTATTTAATCCAGAAACTTGGGTTGGTGGGAATAGGGGCCATCAGAGAGGGTGAGGCCTTCTGAGGGAGGACATTTAGGGAAAGGGTGGGCAGACTAAAGACATATAGAAAATCAAGGGATCCATGGCCCCGGCCTTGAAGTTTGGGGAAGGGAGAGGGTCTGGAGAACATAAAGGCATGAAGCTGGAAGTAGGGACAAGTTTTGGGGAATGAAGCGTCTGGGGTCTGGAGACTGACCTTTCCGACGGCTTTCTTCAAACTCACGCCTTGCAGTCTCAATGTAACGTTGCACCAAGGCCTTGATGACTCGGACCCGGTAGGAGCCACCCTCACCTTCCCCATTCCTGGCCCCCACCCCAGAGTTTGCCTGGAATATGTATGTAGAGAGAAAAGAGTATGAACCATTCCCCAATGTCTGTACTTCCTCCAAATCCTTCCTGCTAGTTTATTGCAATAGCTTGCTGATGGGTCTGTCTGCTTCAAGTATTTCTTCCCTCCAGTCCACCCTCTATTCAGCTACTAAAATGATTCTCCTGATGCCCAGGTCCAACCATGTCACCTCCCATCACCCAATAAACTCCAGTAACTTCCTATTACCTCCAGGAGCAAATAAAAAATGCTTTGTTTGGTGTTCAAAGCCATTCATAACCTAGCCCCTTCCTACCTCCAAAATCTTACATCTTACTCCCTGACATGTACTCTTCAATCCAGTGACACTGGCCTCCTATCCTACAAACAAGACACTATCTCTTGGCTCAGGGCATTTTCTCTGTTGCCCATGCCTAGAACACTCTCCTTCTTCTGCTCTGACTACTGACCACCCTGGCTTCCCTTAAGTCCCAATAAAATCCCATCTCCTACAGAAAGCCTTCCCCAGCCCCTCCTAATTTTAATGCCTTCCCACTATTAATTATCTCCTTTTTATCCTGTGCATGTGGTCTCCTCTATTAGATTGTAAGCTTCTTGAAGGCAAGGACTATCTTTAGACTCTTTTTGTATCCCCAGAGTTTAGCACCTTGCCTGGCACAGAGTAGGTGCTTAATAAGTATTGATTGGTTGATTGATTGATTGATAGTTCTCTCCACCCTCAAAACCAAAGCTCAGGGAAAAAGAAGACCAATGGGTAGAATCCCCAACTGGGAGCTCTAGACACCAGGTCTCATACCTGTTCAAAGGTGTAGGGGAAATTCCTTTCTAGATAAAGTAAGGAATTAGAGTCAGGAAAAGAGGAGAGGCATGTACAAAAATATAGCAGCTCTTTTTGTGGTGGCAAAGAATTGGAAATTGAGGGGATGCCCATCAATTGTGGAATGGCTAAACAAGTTGTGGTATATGAATGTAATGGAATACTATTGTGCTATAAGAAATGATGAGCAGGTGGACTTCAGAAAAACCTGGAAAATCTTGTATGGACTGATGCTGTATGAAGTGAGCAGAACCAGGAGAATGTTGTACACAGTAACAGTCACGTTGTATGATGACTAACTTTGATAGATTTAGCCCTTCTCAGCAATGCAAGGATCTAAGACATCTCCAAAGGTCTCATGATGGAAAATGCTATCCAAATCCAAAGAAAGAACTATGGAGTTTGAATGCAGATCGAAGCATACTATTTGCTATTTTTTTTCTTCTGTTGTGTTTTGTTTCCTCTTTCTTATGGTTCCTCCTATTGGTTCTAATTCTTCCTTAGAACATGACTAATGTGAAAATATGTTTAATAGGAATGCTAAAAAAAAGAAAGGAATAGAGGAGAGGGATTCATTAATCCATAAATTCATAGATTATAGATTGCTGGAGCTGGAAAGAATCTGAGAGATCTAATTAAATCTCCTCATTTTACAAAAAAAGGAAACTGAGGCCCATAGAGGTAACTATGGGGAGTAACTATGGAGAGTAACTTAGAGTAACTTAGTTCCTCTTAACTAATGAGTGACTGAGAAGAAATGACTTGCCTATGGCTCTTCCATAATGAGTCAGTGACAGAACTGGGCCTGGAATTCAGTTTTCCCAACTTCCAGTCTAAAGGTTCTCCAGGGAGAGGGCTGGATTGGACAGAGCAGGGAGTCTATAACCTACTTCACCTCAGACTATTGCTGGGGGATCTTCCCTGGCCACAACCCTCTTTCCTGAACCTCCTGTGAATCACCACCTGGTGATTATTGTGTCAAGGCTAGCTCCCCAAGGCTGCTGGGTAGGATCTCTTGCCTAGGGCTTTGCTTCTCCCCATCCTCACCCCTATCCTGGCTTGGGTGAGTGTAGACAAACTCTGGGTAGCCTTGCATAAGGGTAACAGCATTGGACTTTGAGTCCAGGGGATCTGGAATTGAATCCAGGCTCCTATACTTACTAGCTGTGTTACTTTGGGTAAGTCATCTTACTTCTCTGGGCCCCAGTTTCTCTGTAAAAAATAATACCGGCACTATTCATCTTTCAGAGATATTATAAAGAAATTGCTTAAATTCCATAGAAATTGAGCTATTATCATTATTGTCTTAGCCAGGCTGTTACTAGTCACTCTATTTAGAATCACAGAATGATACCATTTCAGAACTAAGAAATATCTGCTCCATCACTCATGGTAGATCTCTGCTTTGGGATTCCAGTTCCACCTAAGTCATTTGGAAAAGCTTCTTTGGACAAATGCCAGCCTCATCTGGGCAGCCCTGAGGAGAGAGGGGGAATAATTCATCTCCACCCAAGCTGAGACAACTAAGGGAGAGCATGACCCTTGTCAAGATCTTGGCTGAGAGGGACAAAGAAAAAGTAGCAGTAAATAGTCTTCAGGAACACAGCTAATTAGAGAAGCGTTCTCCACCAGCTTGAGCGGAGATGGAGAGGGTAGCTCTTAGTTGCTGGTCCCTTCCTGATTGGCATCTCCCTCATAAGGACAAGCCAACTGGAACAGACTAGGACAGATAGACTTGGAGAGACATCAGAAAGACATACAGGCAGACAGATAGGGATAGAGTTGAACATCCGACAGACTAGAACAAACGTGAAACATTTGATAGCCTGTGGGACACAGAGACAGAACGGAGCGGAGACGGGCTGGATGAAGACAAGATTAAGGTAGATTCAGGACAGTTGTAAGAAAGAGAGACATGGAATAAGCAATCAGATGGGACACTCACGAAGGTGGGGATGGGGGGGAAGGTAGTCTCCTTGGTCTTGCAGCAGCAGCAACAAAAGAATCGGAAGATCCTCCTAAGGGAATGAGATGAAGAGTCAGAGGGGGGTGGGATGGGGGGCTAGGGTTAGGGGTCACAGGAAATGGGGGAATGAGAAAAGGACGTTGAGGGATGGACTGGGACTTGGGAGGATTGGGGGCTGTGGGGAGTTCTTGGAGAAGGGATGGAGACATAGAGTAAGGGGGTGAGGGATGGGAGGGATGAGGCTGTGGAGGTTCCCTAAAAATTTACCTGAGTAGATAGAAGATGGCCTTGGGTGAGGGCAAAATATTGAAGGGAACTGGTAGCGTTAAGCCCTCCCGAAAGAAGGACAAGTAGAGCTTGGAGCAGGCAAACTTCCATTCCACATCAGCATCATCCTGGGTGCCAGAGGTGGGGGTGGGGCTCAGGGACCCCTAGCCTCCTTTATGCCTACAGATCTCCTTCACCCTTCATTCTCTATCCTTCACACTAATCCTTCTTCTCCTCCTCCACCATTCCCCATCTCCCCTTCTCCCTCCATTTCACTTCCCCTCCCTCTCCTTTTTGCCTCACCATATCCCCACCTCCATCCCTTTGTCCCTTTCTTCTCTGATCCTATCTCTATCCCCATTCTCTTCCTTCTCCCTTTCCCTTTTCCTTTCAGTTCTCTACCCACCCACTCTTGATTATCTCCTGGTCTCCTACCATAATACCCCTTTTATTCCCTGCCCCTGTCCCAGCCCCTTTTGCATCCCACTCTCCAACCCCTTTCCTTGCCATCATGCTCCACCCCAATCACTCTTATGTCTCTTCCCAGTCCTCTACCTTAGCTTCGGCTTTTCCGTCTTCCCTCCCTTGAAGGACTCTTGGTCCTCCCAGTCTCCTGTTCCATCCCCTTCTTATTCTTTGGCCCCATCTTTTCACTCCATCCCTTAACTTCATACTTCTTTTCTCCTTTTCTCACCAGATAACTCCCCATCTCCTTTCCCAGCATTCTAATAAAAACAGTTATATATTTCTATTTTGTTTTTGTTGTTCAGTCATGTCCAACTCTTTGTGACCCCATTTGAGGTTTTCTTGGCAAAGATACTAGAATGGTTTGCCATTTCCTTCTCCAGCTCATTTTACAGATGTGGAAACTGAGGCAAACAGGGTTAAGGGACTTGTCCAGGGTCATACAGCTAGTAAGTGTCTGAGGTCAGATTTAAACTCAAGGAGATGAATCTTCCTGACTCCAGGCCAGGCACTGTATCCATTTTGCCACCTAGTTGCCCTTATATTTCTTTAGCACTTGACAACAAGCTATGAGACAGGCTCACATGATCTTAGATTTGGAGCGGAAAGTAATCATACATGTCATTTAAACCAACCCTTCATTTTGCATATACATTAATTCATTCAATAACACTTATTTAGCACCTACAGCCTCAGAGAAGTCACTAAGTCACAGGGCCTTTAGGTACTCAACAAGTCAATCAACAATCTTTTATCAAGACTTTAAAGAAGTTCTCCTGACTCATCCAGTCCTATTGTCTTCAAATCAGTCTGCTCTCTTATCCCTCTCTTCACCTTTCTTCCCAAACTCTGCCACTGCCCTAACCCTTCCCAACCTTCTCTCCCTCCTCCCAAACCCTTCTTCATCCCCATCTCCTCTCCCTCTTGCCTAAAGTCCAATTCAATTTCCTCCAGGAAATCTCTGATCTTCCCTCTCCCCCATCCCCAAATAAAGTCCTCCCTCACACGGTATTTGTTTAATATCTCTATCTCCCCCTAACAAGCAATATTGTGCGTTCTAGTTATCTAGTATATGTATCTTGGCCACCTATTAAATAGGCTATATTTTTCATTATGGCAAGGACTGGGCTTTTCTCCAAATTTTGTAACTCCTCCAGGGCTGGATTCAGGGATCTGCACAAACTAGGCATTTTAAAAATGTTTGATGAATTAAAAGAATCTCCCTTCATCAGATTTTTCTCAATAGAGTGTGAACTCTGGAAGGGCAGAAATTAGGTATTTATATTACCCCATTCCCCCACATTTTACCTCCTTCAATCAGTGTCCTCCTCTGTAAAGCAAGGGGGTTGGGCTAAGTGACCTCTAAGGAAGGTCCCTTCCGGTTCTAAATCCATCTAGGATCATATACTATCCCTTAGCTGTGTGACTCTGGGCAAGTCACTTAACCCAATGGCCTGACCAAAAAAAAAATCACATACTATCCCTTTGGGTCTTTTCTTCCATTGCTCTGCCATTCCTCATGTCCTTCCTTTGATCCAACCCGTGTTCCAGATCCCCAGCTCTCCTCCATCCCTCATTATCCCCTTCATCTCCCTACAGGTTCTTGTTCCTCCTTTGCTCCTCCATCCTCCATCCCCCATCATTTCCTTCATCTCCCTAGAGGTCCTTGGTCTTCCTCTGCTCCTCCATCCCCCATCATCCCCTTCACCTACCTATAGGTCCTTGCTCCCTTGTTGCTATTCCAACCCCCATCATCCTCTTCATCTCCCTACAGGTCCTTAATCTTTCTCTGCTACTCTATTCCCACTTCTCCCACACCTCAATCTTCTGGAAGGAGTTGGTGATCATGGCAATGAGCATGTTGAGTAGCACAATGACCATGACGATGGTGAAGATGCCATAAAGAGCACGGCCCACAAACTCAGGCACCACGAACTGGGGCATGTCCACCACACTGTGTTCCTCCATACCAAACATTGTCCAGAAGAGAAACTGGAATGTCTCGTTGAAGCTGAAGGAAAAGATGTATGTTGTGGAGTAGACAGTAGAGCTAAGCTAGGCCCAGCCTCTGCTTTTCCCTTTACATTAACATCATTGCCTGCAGAAAGCTATCTCAGTCAGTAACAGAACCACATGGGAGATGGGATATTGGGGGTACTGCCCTATTGGGGTATTGTCCCCAGCCAGAATTATCTCCTTATATCAATTGAAAAGCAGCATGGTGTAAGGGATAGAGTATTGGACTTGGAGTCAGGAAGATCTGAGTGCAAATCTTGATTCAGACTCTGGGCAATCACTTAACTTCTCTCAGCCTCAGTTTCTTCATCTGCAAAATGGGGAAACTAAAGACAACAAAAGTGTGTTTTAGGATATACATGGTTTCCCAAAAGTCTTAGATTAAAACTGCATTAAGACTTTTAGGATACTCTGTTTTGGGAGAAGTATAGGAAGAAAGGAGACATATCATGGCATAGTAGATAAAGAGCTGGCCTCAAACCAGGGAGACCCAAGTTTGGGTCTAGTTTCTAACATATACTGGCTATATGACTCTAGGCTCCAGACAACTCTTTAAGACTATAATATGGAAAGAAGGTGCCATACTGCCTTGGTAGAGGGAGTTTCCTCCCCTAAGAGGCCCCTATGTCGATGAAATCATAGGTTTAGTCCCTATCCTACTGGGAGAAAAAGAAGGACAAAAAAGGGATAGGACCTTTGTTTGGAGTGGACAGAATGCTGGAAATTGACACAGAGAAGACACAGCTGTTCAATTTTTATTTTCCTTCTGTTTTCTCTGTGAAGGATATTAGCCTTTGCTCTGGAAAGGACAAAACACAAGTGGCTAATGGGAAATTGATGTCCAAGATAAGTAGGGAGATAGTAAGAGAGCATCTAGTTGTCCTGGAAGGATTAAAGTCACGTGGCCTAGAAGAACTACATGCCCAGGTTCTCAAAGAACTGAAAGATGTGGTTACTGAGTCACTACCATTAATATGTGAAAGATTGCAGAAGACCAGAGAAGGGCAACGTCCCAACTTTCAAAATGCAAACTGTGGACCAGTGATCTTGATGTAAATTTCTGAGAAAATTCTAGAACAAAGCATTAAAGAGATGGTTGGTGAATATCTAGAAAGACAAGCAATAATTACAAAGATCCAGCATGGTTTCAAGGATTGGTCATGCTAAATTTAACTTTACTTCCTTTTTTGAAAGGGTTACTAAACTGATAGATAAAAGGAATACTATGGACATCATTCACCTAGACTAGGGGTGGGGAACCTGTGGCCTCGAGGCCACATGTGGCCCTCTAGGTCTTCAAGTGCAGCCCTTTGACTGAATCCAAACTTCCCAGAACAAATCCCCTTAATAAAAGGATTTGTTCTGTAAAACTTGGACGCAGTCAAAGGTCACACTCAAGGACCTAGAAAGCCACATGTGGTCTCGAGGCCACAGGTTCCTCACCCCTGAGTGCTAGACTTTAATAAAGCTTTTTGGAAAAGTATCTCATACTGTTCTTGTGGAGAAAATAGAGAGTTATGGACTATGGATAACACAGTTAAAGGGTTGGACTCAAAGAATAGCTGTTCATGACTAATGTCAATGTGGCAGGAGTTCTTCACTGGAATATCTTTGGTGCCTAGCACAGAACCTGGCACACAGTAGGTACTTGATAAATGCTTGTTGACTGGATAATTGAATACCCCATGAATTCGTGCTTAGTTGTGTTTGATGTTTTTATCAATGACTGGGATAAAGTCATAGATGCAAGAGTGTCCTATGTGTCCTGGAATCAGCTAAACCTGAACTGATTTTTAAATTTTCAGTGTGAGCATTTACACTTTGTAAATCAGCAAATGCCTTGTCACACCAGGGTTTGATGTATTGTTTTCTTGGTCGTCTAGACTTAAGAAGGTGAGGGAGAAAATGTTAATAATGCAGATTAAATTTAAAAGTGTGTCATGGTAAATGGTTGGATTTTTTCCTCCCCTCAGAGCTGGTTGTTAAATATTTACTAGCATGCCATTGCATAGAGAGTTGGGATTTTGACAGGATAGATGGCATTGGACTGAGTCTAGCATAACGAAATCCACTTAGAATAAATGTAAAGTCTTACACTTGGGTTAAAAAAATCACATTCATAAGTATAAGAGAGGGGAGGCGTGGTTTGACAGCAGTTGTTCTGTGAAGGACCTGAGTATTTTAGTGGGCTGGAAGCTCAAAATGAGTAGCATCTAGGTATGGCAGCTGGAAACTGCATTAAGAGAGGCATGATCCCTGGGAAGAAAGAGGTGACCATGTCATCATACTCTACCCTTGTCAGACCTCATCTAGGGAACTATGTTCTGGGCACCATAGTTTAAGAAGGACATTGAACAGTGGGAAAGTTTCCAGAGGAGGCAACCAGGATGGTTTGGGGGGTGGGGAACCTTCAGCCTCGAGGCCACATGTGGCCCTCTAAGTCTTCAAGTGTGGCCCTTTGACTGAATCCAAACTTCACAGAATTTGTGGGCCACGTATAGCCTCGAGATCACAGGTTCCCTACCCCCTATTAAGGTCTTATGAGTTTATGTCATATGTGGAACAATTAAATGAACTGGGGAAGACTAAGGCCGTGTGTGTGTGTGTGTGTGTGTGTGTGTGTGTGTGTGTGTGTGTGTG